AGTTGTAGAAGCGCTTACCTACTTCGATGCCATCCAGCTTGAGTGCTTAACAGGGAAAAACAGCCCTCAACCTGAGGGGGTGTGTCAGATATAAGGCGCCACAATAGCTCCGCAATTGTGGGTCCCACTTTTGGTCTGACACCATCTTTGCGCCGAGTGATGGCACAAAAACGTTCCCGTGAGAGCCATATCGCAGTCAACAAAGTACGCTTCCAGACGGCAAACTGCAAAGAAGAAAAGTTAGAAGGGAAGAGAGATAGCACAAAAGCAGCCAGCTTCGACCGTCAATGGCACTTTGCTGTGCCGACGCTCGCTCGTCTATCTGCTTCGCAGCCGTGAGCCTGTGCTGGCTCAGTCTGATGAAACAACACCCTCAGTCAAGAATTGGCCTCTGCGACTCAATGCTTGTTCGATATCAAGGGCTCGCGCGTCTTTCTTAATACCCATATGCAATCAACAACACGATTCACTCAGATATTCGATCGGAACGGCGCACATCTACTCCAATCCCGATCCATCAAAACTAGCCGCTTTCTTGAAAGATGAACTATGAACTGTTCTGACTCGAGCATCTAGAAATCGCCGCCGTCAGCAATGCGCAAGAAGCATGTTCGCCACTGCCGTCCACAAAATAAGCATATTTTCCTGCCCGAAGCAGCGGCTCCGCCGACGGCCAATGTCGCCCAGCGGGATTCACGAAAGAAGGCTGTCCAAATACACACGCCTAGCCATCTGACTTTCGTGGGAGACGACGCCAATGCCGACTGAATATATCTCTTGCAAGATTCTTTCGTCTCCAAGATAGCACCCACTCATGCATATGCTTGTCCTCGCTTACTACTTAGGCAAGTCGATTCACCAGTGACTCCATTATGAACAAGCCAGTCCAGCAGAACGGCCAAATCCCTTCTACAATCCGAAGTGACGGTGGAGACATAGCCTGGCTCAAAGACCTTGTTCAAGCAGGGATGTCCGGTTCAGTTCCAACACTGAGATGCGTCCCAGCACCATTGCCAACATCAATTATGGCTACATCCGAGCGCCCCTTCACTCCGGCATGGCGCACAGCGAGGCTGTCTTCTGCGGCCCCACAAGTGTCTTGGTTAAACAATTGCTTCGCGCTGTCACAATGGCGTCCTCACGGTCATCTGACGTTGAAACGGTTCAACATGGTATGCACCAGAGAGCTGCATGCCAGGCCGCAGCGCGAGGTGCCAGATGTGGCCGAGGTCAAGCGGTTCTTGTAGGCACCGGTCCTTGCCCGAACACAAATATAGCAAAGCACCTTGCTAATGGCGAGCTACAAACGGCCGCAGGACGGTTTTCCAGCCAAATACACGACGAACTGGATGCGTTTGCACCTGGGGGGCGAACACGCGTGTCGTGCAGACCTTGAGCCGTTGCAAAGCCTGTGTGTACGGTATATCGGCCGCGATCAGCCGATGAGAGCGGAAGGACCGACACCGTAAACGGACGTCGATTGCGATTGCACTCGTGAGGTGTGCGTCGATTTTCAACATACGTACATACGTCGAGTGTACCTCAAAATAGTCCTACAACTATGAAATAGAAATAAGCACGAACCACTGATCGGGCCGAGAGCGACGGATTTGTTTCATTAAATCTGTGGATAGGCGATGGAGGCTGTTTGCATCAGCAACTACCTTCATGGATCGCGGCAGGAAGAGGTATGCAGCTGAACGACTCCTACAGCCAGGTATCGTGATACACCGGAGAGCTGGAACAAGTTACGGGGAAACATCGGAAGCAACTGGTAGAGATCTTGAAGGAAGGTATCGTTCACGTATAGCGACAGTTTTCAAGGACCTATGAGCGACTGGGTGAAAGAGCCCATGGAAGACCTCGTAAAAGAGTACATGGACAGAGTTTGCCAAAGCATTGGGTCAAGCCGTTGAAGGATAACATTCGGAAGAAAGTCACTAGCCACTGGATCTACAGAGCCAAGGGTGAAGGCTCGTCAAAAGGTACTGCGCTACGACGTAAATATCAGACCAGAAGTGACTCACTCTGCGAGATGGGAAACAACAGCTGCGTGAAGTGTCCTGATTGATCTAGCTGCGAGCGCCGGGCGCGCCTGGCTACAGAGTGGTGTGGCCGATCCCTGACGGGACTCGGGCCGGAGTTCGGGCATCGGCTCCGGAACCGGCCGATCATTGCGGGTCACGTGCCAAGACTCCTTGCTCCACCACGACCAAAAAATTGCGGCGCGTCATTTAGTGGGGCCAGCTCAAAACGACTGGGAGGTGGCTGGGCATCTGAAATTCAAGCGCTCACAGCCAACCATTCCGCCGGAATAACATGACGCCGCATCCGTAACCTCCTGAATCTCCGCCATTTCCCTTCAACCGCGTGGATGCATTCACGCTCACACAATGAATCTCAACCACCATCAGCGCCGTCGCTTCTCTGCCATCGAGACTATCGCCATCCACCCTCGTTTACAGCAGATCAATCTGTCCCACGCGCATCGATCGTCCAACTGCTCCTGTTGCTGAACCGACTTACTGTACGAGCAGGACCGGGTCACCGTCGGCACCCGTCCCAAGCGGACCCGTTAACCGGCGCCCCCGTCATTCTACTACTCGTGCAGGAGTCCTCGATGCAATAGGAGTAGGGTAGGGATCTCGCCGGACGCATTTTTCCTGTTGTAATCGTGCGAAGAAGGTGCTGCGGCAGGCCTGAAAGCACAACATCATCACAACATCATCACAACGGTAAGTGTCGACCCCTCCCCTCGTCACCTTCGGCTACATCATCCACGGGCAAGTCCAGAAGGTCGAACGACGAGCGACTGCAACATGTCGTCTCGCAAACCAGATTATGTTCTTCGCGAGGTCGTTGCAGTGCGGGAAGATGAGGGACAACCACCCTCGATTCTTCCCCTGCAATTTGAGCTTCGCGTCCGATGTTCGCCGGAAAGGTTACTCATTTTTCGTCTGGCAATCTCCCTTGCTGGCAGCGCCTTCGACAAAACCGCCGAAACTAACGTTTACCTGCACATCACGGCCGACTTTCTCGACTCCCTGGATCACATGGTCTGTGACAAGTCCGACACCAATGCTCGAAACCCCTCATACCTCGACAGTGTTCGCCGGCAACTGAAAGACACGAACTCCATCGCCCGCCTTCGATTTCAGCTGCTCCGTGGCAAGCATATTCAGCTGGCCGTGCCGAAGGATTTCACCATCGATCAGCTATGCGACGACGTAGCTCGGTCCACGTTTGAGAACGCTGAATCGCTCGCCGCTGCCTCGACATTTTCCCTATATCTTCCACACAACATTTTGAGCAGTGATAGTGTTCCGAAATATAAAGATGCCATCGAGCGGTCCAGATCTTTGACAGACGCCCTGAGGCAGGGGTATGAGCGCATGCGAGACGTGAACAGGCTGTACCGTGGCGCCGGCGGCAAAGTGCACCAACCCCGTGACCGTCCCCATGGCTGGTCGCCCAGGAAAGAGAATTCCAGTCCTCTCGCTCCCGGCTCATCTCCGTCATGCGGTAGCACTCTCCCCTTCGACGATGTATCCCGAGGCTCACCACCGCCATACAACGGAAGTCCGGCTGGGGAACAGTCGCGGACGACCAGGTCAGATGCCGCAGCCATCCTCGCCGCAGATCCCGGGTCCGACCACAGCCCGCCAGAGTATAGTGATGCTGAACCTCGGGGTGACGGACCAGACTGTCTTCAGAGCGTCTTCTCATGCGGGATTGAAGACCTACATACACACCCGACCCCCCAAAGGAAACGTCCATTTGCCAACGTATCCCCCACAACAACATCTGCGACAGACGCCCCCCGACCGGAGAAGCTGCAGCGCCCTTTGGCTGTTTGTTCGGGCGATCAGCTCATGCGTATGTTTGAGGAGCAACAGCGACAAATCCATCAACTGCACCAAAAGCTGGAGGAATCACAGGAACGGAACAAGGCGCTTGAAAAGCGATACGAGGAGCTAGAGGAAAAATACTATGAGCTGGAAAATCGCCAAGCCGGGTACGAGGGCGGCCTCGACAGTGTCGATATTACGGTTGACGATCTCGAGGCCAGGTGCAGTGCGCTTGAGAGCCAGATGCCAGACGTTTGTGACGAGGTTAAGGGTTTGATAGAAGACATAGGGCGCACGACCAAAGAGGAAATTTGCACGACCATCGACGACAGCATGGCGAAAGCGATAGAAGAGACTGTCGATGCCCAAGTTAAGAAAGTGAAAGACAGAATTTGGAAAGCCCTACAGCCTATATGAGGCAAATAAACCAAATCCTATGTTGAGCTGAGGTTGCCGCTATTTTGTCACCGGGATACAAGACCCGTTCAGCAGCGACACAGATGCTGCTGAGTACGCCGCTACCACCACACGGTCGAAGGACTAAGCGCGACTACTACCTCGCGAAGGGGATAAGATCTTTGCTTCCAAGGACAGCCCTGGAATGACTTGGGACAAGACGATGAACGGCTTCTCGGATTCCAAGGTGGACCAGACCAGACGCTGTTCTTGGGCGCACACAGGCCTCATTCACAAGACAACCATGAATTTGGCTAGCTCCAAGATCCCCCCGGTGGCTGCGTCTGATCACGTTCCAGGGGTCTGCGGAAGCGCATGGCGCGTTCCTTTCCGCGCTCGCTAGAGCCGAGGCTGTTTGTCAAGCGAACCAACTGCCCGAGTCTTCGAGCCTCATGTACGACGCAGACTTGGGCGGTCGATGGCCATGCGCTTTCTGAATGTGACACCGAGATGGATGCGCTCATCCACTCATCTAGCCCACAATTACAGCGGTCTTGATAGAGCGGTTGAGAACAGCGGCTACCTCAGACAGTAGATTAGCCCGCAGCTAACGGGCTTCCTACGCGACTCTGACCATTCCACGCCATGTATCGCAGCGTCATGGGAGCTCCTTCGACGGTACGCCTGGTGTACAGAATCTGCAGGGGCCTGCATCCCCGCAGCGTCGTGTGCCTGACCACCACGGCATGCACGGCGTGACCTGCCCGACACTTCCGTAGACGAACCGGTCCCCGGCCGACGGCTTCACCAGCCGGAAGCCAGGCCTGAGCGGCCGACACGGACGTCCCTGACGCGGTGCGTTGCTGACCTGCTGAGACCGGCGGGGCAAGGCCGCGTGTTTGTTTGTTTGTTTGTTGTTTGTTTAATATTTAACGCCATGGCGGCAAGGGCGCGGCCGCCCTTGCGGCAGACCTCCCGAAGGGTATGTGGCGTGGAGGGCCGCAGGCTCTAGCTATATACTCTGTAGTACACGCCTC